ATTATAGCCTAAAAATTTATTTCTATCTCTAATTATAAAAATTAAATATTAAAAAATTGTTTAGATCAAGTAGATCTATGGATACTTAAAACTTGAAAATATTGAAAATTGACAGTCTAGAAAATACATTACAAAATGCATTATTTACAAGATTTTAGATCTATTTTTTCTTATATCCATACATTTTGAGGTCGAGATGATCGAATTGAAGATTTTTCAATATCGAAACAACCATTTCTAGTGAATTTTTAATTACAACTTAACATGGTTATTTAGGGCCTCACCTTTCCACAAACTTTTTCCATAAAGTTATAAACCTTTCCTCTCAACGCACTAACTAAGCGGTCTCATAGAATTTGAAAAGGGAAATTGTTTCATGCCGCCGGGACAGCAGTTCTATATTTGTGGTTCCTGAATAATGCATCTTAAAGATGGATGCAATATGTGGTTCATGTAAAAATAATTAAAATTAAGGGTCCAAATATTTTTTTAATCAAATTATTATTTTAATTTCAAAATTTATTTATTTTTTCATTCTTTAACAATTAAGTAAAAAAAATCCATCTTAAAAATAAATTTTTTTTGTTTTTTAGAGGTGACTCAGCATGGACTCATAAAAACCATGTCCATTTGAAAATGCATATTGTTTTGATCGTTTAAAGTAGAGGTCTTGAATAAACCGTACCCTTTAGTTGTCTCTACCAAAAAGCCTCGCGCCATGAATGAAGAAACCACCACCGGAAGCAACACCACCATGACCACTCCAAAGGGAAAAACCAACCGCTTACTCCTCCTCCTCACTGTCCTCCTCCTCGTGGTCGGAGCCACCGGCGCCCCCCTCGTCTCCCGCCTCTACTTCATTCACGGCGGCCAACGCAAGTGGCTCACCGCCTGGATCCAAACAGCGGCTTTCCCCATCCTGTTGATTCCCCTCTTTCTCTCCAAAATTTCCAGCACCTCGCAATCTCAAAGAAGACAGTCCCATGTTACCTTTCCCTTGGCCCTTCAAAGTGCCGGCATAGGCCTGCTTATTGGCATCGACGACTACATGTATGCTTTCGGTCTCTCTTACCTCCCCATTTCAACCTCCACTCTCCTGGTTTCAACTCAGCTCGGCTTCACCGCCTTCTTCGCGTTCTTAATTGTTGGCCAAAGGTTCACTGCCCATACAATAAATGCTGTGGTTTTGTTGAGCTTGGGTTCGGTCTTGTTGGGGCTCAGGGCCAGCGGTGATAGGCCTGAGGGCGTGACGGGTGCACAATATGGGCTCGGGTTTGTGCTCACACTCGGTGCTGCTGCTCTTATTGGTTTGGTGTTTCCTTTGATTGAGTTGGTGTATGTGAAGTCTAAGCAAATTGTGACGTTTGGGCTGGTCATGGAGATGCTTTTTGTTATGTCTGTGGTGGCCACAGGGTTCTGCACAATAGGAATGGTTATCAACAAGGACTTTCAGGTAAGGGATGAAGTGATTTTTAGTTGTTTTTTTTTTGGCTGAAAACTAAAACTACTCTGCTTTTATTATTTTTGCTGAAAACTACTCTGTTTTCATTGTTTTTGCTCAAAACTGCTATGTTTTCTAATTCAAAAATAATATAAAGGAAAATTATTCCAGTATTATGAAATTATTCGATTTTTCGTAAAATGTAATGGACGGTGGCGAAGTTCACACTTGTTTTATGTTTTGGTTTAGTTTTGTGCGCGGTCCCATGTCGCAAACATTGGACTGGGGCCGTCAGGAAAGAGGGTAGTTATCGGTATTTCGCACAAACATTGGACTGCCTTAAAGTTAGTGTTTTTTTAAAAAAAATTTAATTTTTAAATTTTTATTTTTAAACCTAAAAACAAATTAAAAGCGCAAACATTTGGACCAACGCCTCTCTTGGCTTTGTATTTTTGGATAAAGCCTTGTTGTGACTTGGCTTTATATTTTTGGGAAGCCTTGCGGGCCAGTCGAAGGTCACAAACGTTGGACAGCTTGGCTTTGTATTACTCCATTGAAACAACTTTCCTATAATTTTCAAAGAAATTAAAAAATATAAAAAACCGGCTTAATATTTGAAACATCAAACCGATGAGTACACTTAGAAAAATAAAAAAGACGTGCAAATGCCCTGGATGTTGTAAATATCCGACCAGCATACTTCCTAAGTAATTTGTCCATAAAAATGTTCAAGTCCTTAAATACCATATTTGAATATGGTACATATCTAATGTTTCTATGTTTTTTCTACAGCACTGAAGTTCTATCCTCCTCCTACCATCCAGCCGTTCAATTTTGATCAAGCGAGCCACTCACCGTTTGATCTTAGATCCGACTTCTCGAAGTATTTTATTTTAAGTTTTTTTTATACAAATTGTATGAATATGAAATTTGGTACGTGCCGTCTTCTCATTGGGGCGAACTTATAAAAATATTAAAAGTAATTTTTCGATAAAATATAATTACCAAAATACCCTTTAAAAATTTTAGAGGTATTTTGGTCATTTTATTTTATTGAATATATATATATATATATATATATATATATATTTTTTTATATTTTATCTAGTGTGATTTAATAAAGGAATGAACGTTCAAAATTTAGTGTCAAAATAGTTTATAGAAAAAAAATTAAAAATAAAATATGTAGAGACGTGACATTGTGATAGGGACAATCTTAACCCTCCATTCGGAATGGATGGTTGGAGGATAGAACTTCTATGATGTTGAAAAAACATAGAAAGCTTGGCCTTAATGGGCCGCACTCACCCAACAAGAAGAATATTCAACTGAGGGTTTTTTCCGGGGGAACAAGTAATTTTCCCTAATTTTATATATAGGATGCTCTCATTTGCATTATTCCCGAGATGGAGGTTTGTAGGAGCGATAAAGGAATAAAATGGGTAGGTGAGACTGTATGGGATTCTTTTAGATAAGCGAACCATTATTTTATCAAATCTTTCACATTTCACGGAAGACTGGAGTTATTTTACCTTTGTCAAGAAATATTTTCACCAGGTCTCAAGCAAAAATGATTTCTATTATAATTTATAATATATTAATTGAAATAAGATATTATTTATTGCTTATATCCAGCGTTTTAAAAAACGTCGAGTCGAACCGGACTCGCCCGGTTCGACTCGGAAATAGTGAAAAAGGAACCGGATCGCCCCGAAAATCGGTAAATCGTCCGGTTCTAGAGAGAACCGGACAATTCTGTACAGTGAATCGCCGATTCACTGTACGGAA